CCGCAAAACAAAAAAAAAAAAAAAAAAAAAAAAAAAAAAAAAAATGGCAATACCATATGATAGTATTTTGGGTATATTTCCAAGGGAAATCTTACTTCTGGGTATATTTCCAAAGGAAATGAAATCAGTTTCTCAAAGAGATATCTGCACTCCCATGTTCATTGCAGTGTTATTCACAATAGCTAACACATGTAATCAACCTAATTGTCCATTGACAGACGAATGGATAAAGTATGCTGTGTGTATGTATATACATATGTACATACACATACAATGGAATATTATTCAGCCTTAGAAAGAAGGAAATCCTATAATTTGTAACAAAGTGGATGAACCTAGAAGACATCATGCTAAATGAAATAAGACAGGCACAGAAACACAGATACTACATGATCTTACTTATATGTGGAATCTAAAAACATCAAACTCACAGAAGCAGAGAGTAGAACAGTGGTTACAAGGGATGGGGAGGTGGGAGAAATGGGGAGATGTTGGTCAATGGGAACAAAGTTGCAGTTATGTAAGATGAATAAATCTAGAGATCTGGTGTACAGCATGCTGACTATAGTTTGATACTGTATTGAATGCAGGAAATTTGCTAAGAGAGTATATTTCAGGTGCTGTCATCATACACAAAAACAGAACTGTGTGAGCTGATAATATGTTAATTAGCTTGACTATAGTAATCACTTCACCAAGTATATGTATACCAAATCATCATGCTGTATACCTTAAGTATATATATAATTTTTAAAAAAAAATTAGAATATGGTCCCCTTCTAGTTTTCTCACTTTTCCCCCTTGCTTTATCCTTATTTCCTTCCCTTACTTCTCTTCTTTATGTCTGTATTATCATTTGGTTTCTATACTTGTGATATGAAGCAAGAGTTTAATTTTTAAAGTAAACCCTTCTAGTGTTTTTAACTTTTTTTTGGCTTGTGAAGGAAGAATTTAATATTTTCTCAAAAGAGTTCTATTCTGTCTTGATATATTTTTTCTCACTATGAGTTTGTGACTCGTAAAAGAAAACTTACCTCTCTCCTATAGTATAAATAAGCTATGTTTGTGGTGTGTACATTTCTTTGTTCTTTTGGGGTTAAATGTAATTGTCAGAGGGGATAGTTTTCATGCTGGTAATTATTTTTTTCCTCGGTTCAGAATAATCCTTTGTAAACCCTGCTGCTGTATTTTAATATCTATGGTAGAATGATTTGACTCACTAAATTCTGTTTTTTTTTTTTCTCTCCTTAATTTTTTCTAGATTCATTTCATATTGCTGTTCAGTCGACAAGGGAAATTACGGCTGCAGAAATGGTACACGACTCTCCCTGACAAGGAAAGGAAAAAGATTACCCGGGAAGTTGTGCAGATTATTCTGTCTCGTGGTCAGAGGACAAGCAGTTTTGTTGACTGGAAGGAGCTAAAACTTGTTTATAAAAGGTGTGAGTAACTTCATGAGAACTGAATCTCTTATTACTATTTGGTTTGTTTAGTCCTGAGCATTTTAGATTGCAACACCAATTCTATCATTTACTGAAATCTTTGAAGGCTGGAGGCCAAATGTTTGCACGAGTAGACTAAAGAGAAGAGAACTCTCATTTATTGAAAGGCTTTCCATATGCCAGGACGGGTTCTAGATACTTATTCTAGATACTTAATTTATGTGTTGATAATGCACACATGCATTCAAGAAATTATGAGCATCTATTATATTTCTAGCACTGTTCTAATGACTGTGCATATACAGTAGCAAACAAGACACAGAAAATTCCTGCTCTCTTGGAACTTATTCGTCTGTTAAGCAAACAAAACAGTAACAAATGCTATGGAAAAAAGGTTAACATGATAGAGAGATGGGCAGCTCTTTATTATTCACGTTTGCAGATGAGGAAACTGAAGCCACAGAGAGTTTAAGTAATCAGTCCCCAGTCACAGTAATTGAGTGGTAATCAGCAGAGCCAGGATTCAAATCCAGATTTTTCTGACTTTAAAGACTGTATATCCTCTCTTTACTGACCTACTTGCCATGGCAAGACCATACTAGAAAGGGACCTCAATTTCTAGGTGAGGAAACAGGCCCTGAGAGGTAAAGTCATTTTGCTCATAAAGACCCAGATAACTGATGCCTAAACCAGGACCAGAACACAGCCGATCTGACCCTGCATCCAACATCATACTGCAACTTTCAGAGGGAAAACACACATTACAAAGGCTCTCACAAGGTGTGTTTATAAAACTGGAAGGGGAAAGAGGTAACATCAAAGGCTGTATTCAATGGAGTAAATTACCAGGAAGTGCCTGGACCAAGCTTCTCTTGCTGGGCCCAAGGTCAAAACTTTTTGTACTAGCATCGTGGGAGACGTCAGCAAAGGCCCTTATAGTAATAAGCACCCCAGGGATAAAAAGACAGAGTCCCAGGAAATCCTTGCCGACAAAAGGCTTGTCCCTACTCTCTGCCTGGTTTCTACAACTTGGGGTTCAACTGTGATTTAAACCATTACCTGAAGAATAGGCTTCAGCAGTTCTCTCAGCAGCTATCTATAACTACTGGGTAAACGACGGTGAACAACGCAGACTCAGTACCTGCCTTTGGGAAGCCATTGATTTAGTGGGGGAGAGACAAGCCATGAAATACGGAATGAAGAGCTCTGGATGCTCTGTGAGGGAGGCACAGGAATGCATAGCAGGGGCATCCAGTGCAGTCAGAGAGGACAGAGATTTCCTGGAGGAAAGGACATCCAAGCTCAGAGCTACAGAAGAAGTAGGAGTGAGCCACATGTATGGGGTGAGGAGGGTATTTGAGGCAGAAGAAACACATGGTGGGGAGGACATGATAAGCTGAGGATGGGAGACACACTACAGTACAGTATGAAGTAAGAGACAGACACACTACAGTATGAAGTATGAAGTAAGAGGGTGGGCACATGGGCCCCTGGGCCCCTTGGTCAGGGCTCTGGAGTTTAGAAAGGACAATTCACAATCCAGGGAGGGGCATGAACAGGCACCCTGATTACCATGGGCCAAAGGACTCTGTGTCCCCTGATCACAGCTCCTCAAGGTAAAGTTTTGAGGACCTTTCACATAATTAACAGAAGTAACCCAATCCCCACCATATTTTTTATATATTCTATTTTACATTTTGGGAGGCTATTGGATATGATGAATAATGATTTCCCTCTTGAATGTGGGCAGGAATAATCCCTGGAGAGGAAGCGGTAACTGCATATTCATGGAAAAAACCATCTTTAGGTTGTGTAATGTGTCATTATATTTTATGTTATCTTCTTTTCTTTTCAAGGTATGCTAGTTTATATTTTTGCTGTGCAGTAGAAAATCAGGACAATGAGCTCTTGACACTAGAGATTGTGCATCGTTATGTGGAGTTGCTGGACAAATACTTTGGAAATGTAAGTGGTGTCCTGGTCTCTAGAACGAGTCAGTCTCCACCCCAGCTTTGACTTCAGTTCTGTCTGGTTTCACATTCCTTCTCTCTCTCAAGTCTAAAATATGAACTGCATTTGCGCTGAGGATCAGAATGCAACGCTTTCCCCCTTTCCTGTAATTCTTAGTAAATGGAAGATCCAGAGCTTTCCAGAGGCAGGTGGTGTGTGTGTGTCCAGACCACAGCCACACTAGACACCTTGTTTCAATAAACTAGAATTTAATTGTGAAGGATTCCTTGATATTTTGTCCTTTACTCCCCACTGACTGTCTTCTCTTTTCTATTGTGCCTTTTTATCCTCTCTCTGGTTTCTTTTACTAAGCTTCAAGTGTTCTTTAATATTATTTATACATAAGAAAAAAACAACACCAGACAAACAAAACCTTTTCCTTCACATTGCTATTCAATCTCCATGCATTTACTGCCAAGTAATACACCCTACGAGGTGCCCTGATCCCCAGGACACAGTCACTCTGCGGCAGCTTATGGCCTGGCTTCACCTTTACTCCTCCAAGGAAATCATAATGGTCAACACCAGTGATGCTGCTTTACTCTTCACCTGCCTTAACCTCTCTGCAGCACTGGACCCTGGCTCAGTGCAATGCTTTCTTTAAATCCACTCCTCTTTATTTTGCCCTGACACTGAGTTCTGCTAATTCTCATACTGTTTTTTTGGTTTTTTTTTGCGGTACGCGGGCCTCTCACTGCTGTGACCTCTCCCGTTGCGGAGCACAGGCTCCGGACGCGCAGGCTCAGCGGCCATGGCTCACAGGCCCAGCCGCTCCGCGGCATGTGGGATCTTCCCGGACCGGGGCACGAACCCGTGTGCCCTGCATCGGCAGGCGGGCTCTCAACCACTGCGCCACCAGGGAAGCCCTCTGAAGTTTTTTATTAAATGCTGTTAAGAGAATTTGCTTTCCGAAGAGTTTTCTGTACTGTATTCTATATAGTGGAATGAACAGCAGTTGAAGTATTGACTAAGGTTTTGTCAGATTTGTTGCAACAGTTTTCACAAGGATGAGTACCTGAAAGGTTTCTGAAATAATTTTCCCTCCCTCTCGCCCTCTCTTTGATTCTTCTTTTTTTTGTCTTTGTAAGTTACATTATAAGACCTAAATATTGCTTCAGAGATTTCAGTTTGTTGGTCAGCGTATAGAAATAATAAGACAGGGCTTCCCTGGTGGCGCAGTAGTTGAGAGTCCGCCTGCCGATGCAGGGTACAAGGGTTCTGTGCCCCAGTCCGGGAAGATCCGACGTGCCGCGGAGCGGCTGGGCCCGTGAGCCGTGGCCGCTGAGCCTGCGCGTCCGGAGCCTGTGCTCCGCAACGGGAGAGGCCACAGCAGTGAGAGGCCCGCGTACCGCAAAAAAAAAAAGACCATTTTTCTTTTGCTCTCTCCTGGTTCACCAAGTTTATTTTCATTTTTGTTAAAGAGAGATTTGCAAATATATAGTGGCAAGTTTTCAAACCTGAGATTATTTAATTTTATACTTTCAATTTTTTCAGAGGAATTCTGACATTGCAGTACTTTCTTTTGTAATAAACCGCAGACTTGGCCTTTAGCAAAGCTCTGAAAGAGTTCTCCTGAGGCCCGGAGATTCCCATAGCCTGCCTTTTCCCCCTCATTTCCGTACTCTGGTTTGACCTGTTGTGTTTTCTTAGATTTATCCAACTGTGATAATGTGAATTGGGATTGAATTTTATCTCAATCTCATCTGACCAAATATCAGATATTTCAGAACACGTTGCTTTCTCAAGAGAATTTGAATCAACTTCACTAATTCTAAGCCCAGTTAAAGTGTCAGCAGAATCAGGATGCATTCCTATTTCTCTAATACTATTAATTTTTCATCCTGTTTTGGCATACCTTTAGAAGCTCTGTCTTTGTCATGGACCAAAATTTAATTCACTAAAAAAATTCAGTGAATCTTTCATTAAGCTAAGAGCAGCTAAGAGCAGTTCAAGCCTCTGTGCCCAGTACATGTTCAATTCTTATTAATTAACTGTGATGAGTAAGCCCAGCAATACTGATTCTTATGACATTGTCTCAGGAGTGATATATTTCTCTTTGGTTTTCTTTTCCTCTTGTGTTAATCCTGAAGGTTTCCTTGAATTTTGCCCTTATATTATCCCAGAAAAAAACTCTGCACTGAGTTTCTCATAAGACTAGAAAATATTACCTTCCTATGACAGATAAATCAAAATCTCTGGCTACTAATTTATTTTTATTTTTATTTTTTAGCACTTTTCAATTCCCAGGAGATTTACAAGGATTAACTAGTTAATCTTTTGGTCTTCAGTAAGTAGCATGAAGCCCAGTTTATAGAGGCTAAGAGTCAATGCCTCAGAGTCTCACAGTAGATAAGGGTCAGTTTGAGGACTTCGACACCTGCCATATTTTCCCATTACAGGCTGTTATGTGAGGTTTTACTGATGCACCCAGATGGTGCAGAGGTTGCTGTGCTGGAGAGGTTCTGTCTTTTTTTTTTTTTTTTTTTGCAGTATGCGGGCCTCTCACTGCTGTGGCCTCTCCCGTTGCGGAGCACAGGCTCCGGACGCGCAGGCTCAGTGGCCATGGCTCACAGGGCCCAGCCGCTCCGCGGCACGTGGGCTCCCGGACCGGGGCACGAACCCGTGTCCCCTGCATTGGCAGGCGGACTCTCAACCACTGCGCCACCAGGGAAGCCCGAGAGGTTCTGTCTTGATTCAGGGAGTTTTCTTGTTGTCAGGTGAGGGGTGCTCTATGTCCTGCTGGATCCTGGTGTCAGCTGGCTTTCTCACCAAACCCATGATTTGACTCATCATAGATCTCTATTTCACAGATAAGAAAAATGACATTCAAAAAGTTGAATAGAAATATTTACTCTGCTAATGTCATGGGGGCTATTATGAGGATCAAAGACATAGTGTAATTAACAATACTTATAAACTGTCAATCGCTATGTAACTGTACTTTGCATTATTATTTTATACATCTTTTTATGCATTTGCTGTACATAACTTGAACTTTTTTTACTTACTTTAGAACAGAATTCAGTAAGGGAAGTTTCTTCTTAAATTCTATCCAAAATGATTTAGTTATTTAGATGCCAGAAATAATCTCACTACATCATGTATTATGCTATAACAGAAGTCCCTCAAGCCAAATTATAGTAAAATTGTAGTAAAGCACAAGGCTAGGAGATCAAAGGTAACATTAAATTACCACTGTTTTTTCCTTTTATAAGCTTTCTTCCAGAATAGAGAGACATGAGAAAATGAGAAAAAATAAGGAAAGAGGCTGATGTGTTTATTAACACAGAAGCCATGTGCTTTTGCGTAATTAGATGGAGTGCAGTCATCTGAGCATCAAGGGTACATTTCTGATATACTGGGGCAGCGCCCTGAAGGTAAAATTAGAGGTAGTATTTGAGTAATTAGACAGTAGCTGAGGAAATCTACGTTATGTCTCAGGTTCTGAGGTGTTTTCTCTTCTTACTCTCAGGTACAATAACCCCTCGGGGTTAGGCTTAATAGCAAATAGAATAGTATTTTGAAGTTGCTGTATGTGAATGACTTGCTTGTTTGTAACATTCTCTATTCGGCCAGTAGAACGTGTGTAGCCATTTCCCTTATGATCTGGAGATAGCAACTGTATAATCAAGGTGTGTGTGTGTGTGTGTGTGTGTGTGTTAATCTGGCTTTGCATATTACCTAACCTTATCCCTACCCATTGAAACTAGGTGCAGTAAATTAATTGCCCTGTGGCCATTGGCGAGCCCTACAGCCTTGGGGATGGCTTGCTGCTAGGAGAGTGGAGAGTGGGGTATGAGAAGTTCCCAGAGAACTTGCATTAGTGTCTGTCAAGTTCACTTTGCAGGATTCTGGTTGCTCGTTTCTTCTCATGACGTTCCTGTCTGTCCCGGATTCCTGGTCTACATCTGCCTCGAACTCTGGGGTTCCCCAGCTCTTGCTACTATAAATCCTGACTTCCCACCTCTTCTGATCTCTGGTAACTGCTTAATTCTTGTACCTTCTTTAATGTGCATGAATGTCTAATCTACTGTGCTTTCTTTCTGTTTATCTATATTGTTTAAAATTGCAAAATAATACATATTTTTACATATCCTTCTAGACGTATACAGTTTTTTAAATAAAAAATGGTATTATACATATTATTCTGCAACTTTCTTTTGTTCCCCTCACCAGTCTATCTTAGAGCTATTTCCATGTCTATCCATGGAAATCCACTTAATTCTTTCCAACTTTATGCATAGAATTCCCATGGTATATAATACGATACACAAGTAGGGGTAGACCATACTTTATTTAAGCAATTCCATTACGGCTGGATTTTTGAGTTGTTTCCAATTTTTATTATAAATGATGCTGCCATCATCCTTGTTATTAATATATATTATTATGCAATGGTTTGGGTATAGCATAGGAATAAATTCCTTGCAGAATTATTGGGTCAAAGGATTTGTACATTTAAAACTGATGGACACTACAATTTGAGCCTTCAAAATGCCTATAAAATTTACAAATTCCACCAACAGTGAGTGCGAGTACCTATTTATCCATACACTTAATCAGCAGTGGATATTATCTCTTCTTAATAGTCAGATGGTCGTTAATTCAATTTGCATTTTTCTGATTACTAGTGAGCCTGTATATATTATTAGATGTGCATTGACCTTTTCCATTTCTTGCCTTGTCTATTAATTGCTTCTTGACAGCCTTTATTTGATTTTTTATGTTGTGGTGTTTATCTTAGGGATTCGTGAGAATTCTTTCTATATCATGGATACTATGCTTTCCTTTCTGTTATATATGTTGCAAATATTATTCCCAATCCATTGTTGTACTTTTAACCTGTACTCTGATCTCTACATTTTTGTCTGGGAAGCTCAATTCTAGTCTCATTCCAACTCCTGGAGTGAGTGTTCTAGAAATAAAAGGGTTTATAAGCTGAGAATATTTCCTTTTATGATGCTATCCTTTTTCTGATGGTTGTTCCCAAGAGTGAACCCTAAAGTTCTGGGGAAGTCCTGGATTATAGTATCATGTCCCAGTGAATAGACTCTTATTTTCAACTGGTTTTACACATATATGTATGTGTATGTGTGGAGAGAGAGAGAGAGAGAAAGAGACCCTGTAGGGAGGGGGAAATTAGCTGTGTGTGTGTACACACACACACACACACACACACACACACTCTTGTTGATTTGATGCTGTTTTCTAATGAATGAAGAGACCATAACCTTTGCAGATTCATTAGATTAGTTTTTCTGAGCTGGCCATTTATTATAGTGGTTTTGTACTTATTCTTATGCTTCTAGATTCAGTTGGATCTGTCAATATAAACCATTTTCCTTGGAGAATCTGCAAGTTTATTGACCTAAATCCTAAATATATGGAGCAATTTGTTAAAATATTGACATCCATTGTATGTAAAGTCATAGGATTGTCGATCTGGGAAGCCATTAGTCCCCAGCATCATAAAAATAAGGCCTGTATGGTGGCCAACTCATTCATTTATCCTGAGAACATTTATTGCATCCTACTATGTGCCAGGTTCCAGAGGTATATGGATGACTAAGACAATTTCTGTACCTGAGCTCACAATACAAGGGGAAGTGATTGATAAGTAAGCGTATACTTGGGCACACAAGATGGAAGATAACATAAAGGAAGTGATGCAGAATCTCTATGTGAGAAAAGAGGATTTGGGGGAATCATTGTGCTCATACCTTCTGAACTTGGCCTTGAAAAATGAGTTTGATTTTGCCAGCAGAATAAAGGAAAAGACATTTGGAACATTCCAGGAATTTCTGGAATGTGCAAAGGGTAAAGGCATGAAAGAACGGGGTGAGTTTGTGGAATGTGTAGCTTTAGCATGGTGTGGGTACCAGCACAGGAAGCCAGAGAGCTGGGCTGTAAAGATTCCTATATGCCATGCTGAGGAATCAAAACTGTCCTGAACAGAAGACCTCACCCAGGAAAGGACCCAGATCAGCATTTTAGCAAAGTGCTAGTGGTCATTGGCCTCACGTGGGTAGACACCACCTAGAAAGTCACTGCAGCACCCCAAGCGAGATACGTTGCAGGCCTGAGTAGTGGCGGAAATGGACAAGAGGTTAGGGGTTTATTTACAAGATGGAATCCGTACAAATTGGTGATCAACTTGAGAGGCATGAGATCAACGGGGAGAGAGGAATGAGAGGGAGGGGAACTTAAGCTGAACTGTAGAATGAATTAGATTGAGCCACGAGGTAGAGCTTGCAGCTACTAAGCAAAATAGGAACTAAAGGGAAAAGAATATGCTTGATTCAGTTTGGAATACGGGGATGTAGACTGAGGATATCCAGGCAGAAATGTCTGGTTAGTGGATGAAAACATTGGATTCGCGCTGCAGACAGAGATCAGGCCCAGATAAAGGTCTCACTTTGTTAAGCCACCTGCATGGAAGACCCAGCTTGTAGAGCGTCAATGAGATCATCTAGGAGAATGTATGTGTTGCAAACAGAAGAGGCTCTCTTGGGAAGCACCAGTCTTTAGGAAGAAGGTGGGTCCCTAGAATGTAAGCAACCTGCTGCAGAGATGTTTGTTTTGCCGATTGATGTGTCCCAAGCATTTTGTAAATACTTCTTAAATGAATGCAAGTTTCCGGGGGGAGATAGATCATCCAAAGAGCCTGAGAAGGACCATCAGAGATGGAGGAGGAAAATGGGCACTGAGTGGTATCGCCAACATCAGGGTGCAAGCAAGAACAGATTTTCAAGCAAGGGTTGGGTGAAGTGTATCAGATGCTGTTGAGCCATAAAGGTGGGAGAGGACTGAAAACTTTCAGTGAGCAGACCATCCGTAAGGTATGGAAAGCGAGAGTTGAGGAATATGTGAGAAGGGAAACAGCAGGGATGGTGCCTGAGTGGCTGTCTGGTTGAAGCATTGGAATTGAGCCTTATTTGGATTATGGGGAATGGCCTTGCTACTTGCTACATTTAACCAAATCTATCAGACTCTGCTTTGGTCTGTGACAGTGGTAGCGGTTCTTGACGTGTGGTCCCCACACCAGCATCATAAGCATCACCTGGGAACCCATGAGAAGTTCAGACTGTCGGGCTTTACCCAGACCTACTGAATCGGAAACTCCAGGGTAGGGCCCAGTAGTGTGTGTTTCAATGAGCTTTCTGGGTGATTGGGATATACTCTGTAGTTTGAGAATCACTGGCCTGGGATATAATTTTGAGAAAAATTAACACAATTGAGCTAATTTGCCTCTGAAGAATGAGCTTCTGAGATTTCTAAAGCTAGGAGCCAAATTTACAGACCAGAGGGCCGGAGCAACGAAGCACTGGCCTCGTGCCTGAAATGCAGTGGCGGCTCAGCTTTTATCTGTGCGGATGGAGAGGTGAGCTGGGCAGCTTCACTCCTGGACTGAGTCTCAAATTTCCTGTTGTGACATTAAACAATATTATCTAAGGACATGCTCTGCTTTAATAGAATGTGGTTTTACTTTTATTCAGGGCCTGGATTTCCATAGTTCTACTTTTCTGGCTTTAAAATACCATCTGATATTTTTATCTTTGGTGTGCCACATGGGTGTCACTGTTGAAAATCTTGAATCACTGGCCCATGTTTCCCCTAATACTACTGCGAGTTTATCAAAATATTAATTTTTGTCTTACCAGGTCTGCGAGCTAGATATTATCTTTAATTTTGAAAAAGCTTATTTTATCCTGGATGAGTTTATAATCGGTGGAGAAATTCAGGAAACATCCAAGAAATCTGCTGTTAAAGCCATTGAGGATTCTGATATGTTACAGGAGGTCAGTACACAGTTTCTCATGCCCTGGGAAAAGATGATGGTGGTGCTGTGATGGCGATGGTGGTAGTGGTGATAGATTGACTGACACTGGGTGTTTACTCTGTGCTGGGTACAGTTTTTATTTTTAAGGTAAATTCTTTATTTTTTAATTTTTATTTTAGTTTTAAAATTTTCGGCTGCATTGGGTCTTAGTTGCAGCATGCGGTATCTTTCGTTGTGGCACGTGCGCTCCAGAGCGCATGGGCTCTGTAGTTTGCAGCACGCAGGCTCTAGTTGAGACGCGCAGGCTCAGTAGTTGTGGTGCACAGGCTTAGTTGCCCCGTGGCATGTGGGATCTTACTTCCTCGACCAGGGGTCAAACCCGAGTCCCCTGCATTGGAAGGATTCTTTACCACTGGACCACTGGGGAAGTCCCAGGGTGCAGTTTCTAAGTAAGTTACGTGTATTAACTTATTTAGTTATCACAGCAACTCTAAGAGGTAGGTATATTGTTACCCTCATTTTAAAGATGAGTAAACTAAGACACAGAGAGGTTTAATGACTGCTCAACGTCACACAGCTAGTACGCATGGGATAGAGATTTGAACCCAGGTAATTGGGCTCCAGAGTCTTTGTTCTTCATGTCTGAGCTTTTCAGTGAGGATACCACACTATCGAAAAGGGATTACATACTTGGTGCTATTCTTTTCAAGAATAATTTTATGGGAGGTATAAAAAACCTTTCATTAAAATATCTGTGCTGACCTGGGAAAGGAGAATAGCAATACATCATTATTTTACTTGCCAGGGATACTAGAGCTTTATTATTGAAGATGGTGATCATCATATTAATTAAAATGTCCTACCTTCCTGGGAGGCTGTATGTGTGCTCCTATTTGCATAAATAAATTGGGAATTCTGTGGCTTGCTTGTCAAGGGATAAATGGGCCCTGCAGCAGCCGTTTGGTCATGTTCCTGACTCTGTGATACTTATATAAAATACACTGGGGCTTCTCTTGTAGATACAGTCCAGATTTGCATTGTCCTTAATAACGGAATGTACCTACATTAACCCCTTCAGTCCTCCCGTGGGCACTGTGAGAAAGGGCGCTTCACCCCACTGAACTTTGCCCTCCCAAATGAGATGATCTGACCAGCCCCTGCTCAAGCATGCCTTTGGGGACCTGGCTTCTACCCCAGCTCTGCCACCTCTAGGTTCTTCTCACAGTATCATTGAATCTATCTTTCTATTTTCATGATAGCTGGTCAGAAGATTCCAGAGCATTATCAAGTGTCTTTTAAAAATTGGCATTAAAGCCATTCTTGCTGCTGTTTGGAAATAAGAGCCTGCTTCAGTTACTAAAACATTAGACATGACTTCCAAGCAACAGTTTTGGCACATCTTTGAGCTGATTACTAGCTCCTGCCCATCTAGGGAACCAGTCCTCAGGTGAATGGATACCGAGAAAGATACAGGGTACCCCTGAGCCTCTGTGCTTGCCTGTTAGGAAGCTGATGCATTTATTTCTAGACACGTTATCACCTCCAAAAAATGCATTTAAACTTTCTGATGTTCACTTGGCTGTCTCCAGATGACACAGGAAGGGAATTTCACAAGGTACTTGAGAAATCAGTGGTTTGGAAATTCTACATAACCTTTCTTAAAATATGCCAGCGGGTTATTTATAATTCTATCCTCAGGGTCCTTACTGTGGAATCACGTTATAGGAGAAACAGACATTGAACAGGGTCTTGGGCACTTCAGTAATTAAAGCTCCTTGAATTAGGGCCAAGATACACCTGGGTTATTTTGAATTTCCCTTCTGTAGGAAGTAGAATTTTAAAGGGCTTGCGGGTTATCTGGTGCTTCTAGTTCCATTTAAATCTGGGAAGCAGGTATTGCCTGCTATTTCAAGAGAGAGGCCTTTCACAATTAAACATTAATTGGTCATTCCCTGGTGTCCCTGGTGATTGAGTGGAAGGTCTTGATAGGTGGGTCTAAGGGGACCCTCCATTTAGCTGCCGTGTCCCCATAGTGAGCAGGCAGTATCATGACTGCCCTCTAAATCTTTCACTGAATTCACAACACCTGCCAAATAGAAACAGTGTTAACAATGTTCTCTTGGGATCTGGTCCTTCAGCTAAGTCAATGAATGTCTGGGGAGCTGTTTGAAAAATTGACTTTGTATATATGGTTTGCTTTGTGTATCTGGTCAGAGCAGTTGAGCATATGAATAGGCACAAGTAATATAATTGCATAAAGAGAAAAAATTATTGCTTTCTTTTTTCCCTGTCCTTTGGACCTGAGCACGTATTTGTATTGAATACAAACTTAGTTGCTTAAGTTTAAGGGAGGCCTTTGTAATATTGCTTTTACTTTTAGCACAACTGAAAATCTCAGAGTAGGCCCTGAACTCTTCCCTGACCTCTACCCAATAAAAGTTTTCTAGAATAAAAAAACTGTCTCTACATTTTTAGTAAGAAGATACGTAGTCTTAAAGCCCTAAATGCTCAGAGCTTATTCTGAGTGTACCGGGGCTAGATGTTGATAATATGGAAAGAAAGGAACAGTTTAATTGGTTGGGGATGACTTTAAGAGGTACCTTATTTTGAAGGTACCTGTGGACAATGGTGCAAAAATGATTAGAAGGAAAAAGAAACGGAAAGAAGGTAGTGATCCTTAAATACAGAGGTTGCAATTCTTGGGATCACCAGTGGGGGCGACAAACAGAAGATGTTCCGACCACAGAATAAGAAAGCAAGTTAAGAAGGGAGGGTCAAATGGTACCTCATTAGGTCAAGCAATGGGATACCTCATATGTATGTGTATGTGCGGATTCATGAGAACTGGCTAGGTGCACCCCAACACTGTCACCCTTAAAAGCACAAACCATGTTAAACAGCTATTGCATTATGGTTTAACCAGGTTAAACCATAATGCAATAAAAACTCTTAGCATGCATAGTGCTGGATGCACAAGAAACACTGCTGTGCTGGATGGATACCTGGGGTCCCAAGACACCCTAGTCCTCTTGTGAAAGGCTAGGGCAGAGATCTTTAAGTTTGTGCCAGCCTTAAAAGTCTGTTCCAACCTTTAAAAGGGGCAAGCCCAAGAAAGTAGCAACCTCATATGTCATTGGCTCATGTAACTCTAAGTAACAGCACAGCTCAGCAAGGGCAGCCAGCGCAGTCTCAGGCAGATTGACTTATCCGGTGGTGTGAAGCAGTGCCAATAGCTAGAGACCAATGAACTGTGAAGCCAGTGAAGTGACAACTCCAGGACCTTTCCTGGCCCAGACCCCTTCTAAGGCTGCAGGCTGATATGGTCAAATTTGCAAAGGTAAGATAGCTCAGCTGCAAAGAATTTGTGGCCATATAATGAATATATAAGATATTATGGAAGTGTGTCAGGCACTTAGTGAATGAAACCCATTCTGCTATTGTTCTGGATTTTGTGATATTTGTAATTTTTTTTTGTGTGTGTGGTACGCGGGCCTCTCCTGTTGCGGAGCACAGGCTCCGGATGCGCAGGCTCAGCGGCCATGGATCACAGGCCCAGCCGCTCTGCGGCATGGGGGATCTTCCCGGACCGGGGCACAAACCCGTGTCCCCTGCATCGGCAGGCGGACTCTCAACCACCGCGCCACCAGGGAAGCCCCGATATTTGTAATTAAAAACAAAAATTTGTAATCTACTCTCACTTTTTTCTCATTCTAAGTAAATTTATACCAAATTTTATATTTGTAATTTTGTATACTCTTTTAAATGGGCTAAAGTCTAGGTACCAAGAAACAGTCATGGGCCCCTGGCCAATGTGATACCCCTGCCAAGTTGACAGACATGGGCAGTATCTGTAAGAGGAGAGACAGGGCAGAGGTCTTAAGGTGTGGGCTTCTCTTGGCCAGTGCTCATCCAGGAGGTGTAAGAGGTTTATAAGAAAGTGTGGATAATGGACCACAAGTATTTTCAGCAGAGGAAGACTGGAGTTCTAAGTAGAGCTGGTGAACACAGTCAGAAAACCTGATTTCTAACCCCAGTATCTTCTGAGCAGTCTTGCTTAGCCATGGTCTCGGTCTCTTTGGGCAACACTGGTCGATGTCTTCCCTGGCAGGTGCACGTGAATCACATCTCCTGGGGTTCAAGCTTAAGAACAGGTTAAGCATTGCTGGTAGCGCTGTGACTTCCATGTAAGAGGTAGGGGTGTTACCAAAGGCTGGCCCCTTGAGCTCCCTGATTGATTCAACCCAGGGGCCTTGTTACACAAACATATGTTTATAACAGGAGAGGGTGGAAGAGGAAGTCCATCCATCATGCATAATAAAGGGCTTGCAACATGACTGTAACTTTCAACTCTGCCTGTGGTTGTGAATCCATTTAAACATTTTTTTAAAGTACTGGGAAAAAATTGGGGCCTTGTGGCATGTTAGCAAACTTGGTAAGTTATGAGGAGGATGAAGAAACATAATTTAGGGCTTCCCTGGTGGCGCAGTGGTTGAGAGTCCGCCTGCGATGCAGGGGACACGGGTTCGTGCCCCGGTCTGGGAGGATCCCACATGCCGTGGAGTGGCTGGGCCTGTGAGCCATGGCCGCTGAGCCTGCGCGTCCGGAGCCTGTGCTCCGCAATGGGAGAGGCCACAACAGTGAGAGGCCCGCGTACCGCAAAAAAAAAAAAAAAAGAAACATAATTTATGTACTTTGGAGGAAAGCCTTTTCAAAATACATTAAAGAAATTCTTAAGAATTATGGTCTGTTTATCCCTTATGTCTTGGCAATAAGATGTTCTGTATCTGTAATTATACATATGTTATGTATGTATGTAACAATACATACGTTATACAAATACAATTCAAATTTCTCTAATACCTGTGTCTGGAGGTAGTCCTCATGGTTATTTTAGCAGGCACATTTTTCTGAAGTCAACAGTGATAGCTTCACAGCTGTTGCTTTAGCATTTCTCTTATCAGACATTCCTTTTATGGTCAAGTTTAGCCATTTCTCTGTTGAAAGTTATTTAATTCCAGCCATATGGATGTGTATACAAATTATACTCAAACTTTGAACCACCTTTCTTGATTAGAATGCAAAGATTTATGACCATGTACACTTCAAAAACTTCTTTTTGGGAATTCCCTGGTGGTCCAGTGGTTAGGACTCTGGACTTTTACTGCTGTGGGCCTGGGTTCAATCCCTGGTCGGAGAACTAAGATCCCACAAGCTGTGTGGTGCAGCCAAAACAAAAACAAAAACAAAAACAAAACCTTCTTTCCTCTAATGGCAAAATAAACAAGAGAATGAAGAATTTTCACAGTCTGCTAAAGGATGTGGTTTAAGGGAAAATGGCTGTAATCTGTGGTTCTCTTTCAGACAATGGAAGAATACATGAACAAGCCTACGTTTTAACCATGCATCTACTTGAAGACTCCAAGTGCTACATGTTGTGAACCTGTGCCTTGCATCCAGTTATTTGACAGAGCCTCTGGCACCATGCCAAAAATAACGTAAAAGGGATTTTTCTGTTAATTAGCAAAAATTAAAGTTGTTTAACATAATATATTTATATCATTATTCATGTCTGTATTATACTGTATATGACTACTTGGATGTTAAAACAACTGCTTCATTGCTCAATAGGCTGAATGTTTGTTTGCAGTGTTTTAACTCCATGTCATGTTTTTGAGCTAATTTAAATAAATTTATTGCAATGTGTTTTGTTGCATTTGGTCCTCTACTGACAGGGTGTAAACTATATTGTCATAATCCATGATTTTGAATGTAAAGTATATCTTATATCAATAATACTTTTTCTAAATGTTTAGCTTTTTTAATTGTATAATGATTCAAAATTATGTTAATAGTTCAGAGTTCATACATGATGTTAGACATTTTAAATACACTTAATACTGTAATTTCAGTCCAGATACAGTGTATCTGATTTTAATGTCCTGAATTCATTAATTTTTCAGGGCTGGAATTAAGGACAGCAACCAAAGATAGTATAGGCCTTAAGTGTTTTTGATGTCTTGGAAGCTGCTATCTAGGCTGAGGTTTTAATTTTACCTTTTAATTGAATATAAGGGGCATTCCAATAAGGTTGTGTTTTGTACAAACTCTATATATTTATTAACGTTTTGAGACATCTGAAAAAGTGTCTATAACTTCCCTTACTATAAAAATAGTATAATAAAGATTAATAACAGTAGCAATAATACTTATTAATACTACTATTTTAATAATCTTCTATGTTCCAAGCACCCTTAGTTGCTTGAGAGATTTTTGTTTCCAGTATGTTTTCATGTATATCTAATATATTTGAAGACATTGTTTATTAGGCTTTCTTGGAGCATTTAATATTATTGCAGCCTATATAGTTGGTGCCTTGCCTCCTTTTTCTTTCCTCATCTCCCAAAGAAAATATTTGCTGCTGACTGCTATTATTGTGACTATGTCGCATTCATGCTTCCTGGAAAGTTCTATATAACCAGGTGGTAGAAGTGATCAGACATTCTAGGGAAATAGCTTGTACTGTTCTGTCTGGTGGCCCGCTCTTGATGTCTTACCTGTGCATTTTCAATGTTAGTTTTGAGGTCAAATGTCATCATGTTGCAGTGGTTAGGGACCTTCTAGTATTCTTCCTAAGAGAAGAGTGTGCTTGCTGTTGGAGAATCCAACGTGAGGGGAAAATGTCCTCTTTGATTCATCGTGCCGGACATATTTAGGGAAAGTTGGCAAGACAAGAGTGGAAGAACATGAGGAAAAATTGACCAACTCCAGACTATAACCATTATTAAAAGGACCTACTTCAGGTTAGTATATGAAGTAATTATGGGGCTTTTAATATCTAATATTTCCTCAAATTAATCATGTATTTACAATTAGGGCGTCAGATTGAAGTTTGTCGTTTTTATCACTTTGTTTACTTTAGATCTTTGATTTTGTGCTTTAGCTTTTTTTTTTTTTTAATATGGCAGAACTCTTTATTTTAAAAAAACACTGTATAAAGATAAATTTTATGTCAATTGATGTAAGTTTTTCTGGTTCTTTTGAAGCTCTCCACCATTTTTGGATGAAGGTATTGATTGAATCTCATTCAAATGTACTCCACATATATTCTGGGGAATTCCATATTAGACACTGTCTAGTTATAGCGGGGGCTCCTCAGGCTTCATGTCAGCAGCACACATAGGGTGTGAACATAATGATATGGCACTCTGGGGTAAATCTGAGGGATTTGGGGGACATCTTACATGGACTTCGGTGAAAATAATCATTATGTTTTCTTTATATCTTATAATTGTTATTATGTTTTCTTTATATCATATAATTGTAATAAAACCAGCAAGGGAAAGGAAAGATAATAAATATTAAACTTGTATAAAAACTTCCAAATAAAATTTTTTTAAGTTTTTTATTGAGGAACTTCAGCGTGTTTTTATGAATATAGTTTTTTTTTTAAATCAGATTTTATGCTTGAAATTGCTACCCATAATTCTTGTTGACGTCCTTCTAATATATAACCTCTTCATTTTTTTTAAAGTTTTTTATTGAGGAACTTGAGCATGTTTTTATGAATATAATTTTTTTTTTAAATCAGATTTTATGCCTGAAATTGCTACCCATAATTCTTGGTGAAGTCCTTCTAATATAACCTGTTCATTTTCTAGGCAATTACCTATCAAGGTGGAACTTCATAAGCAGGTGACAGCAAATGAGAGAAGAAAATTTATTGTTTTGCTCCTATTGGCTTTTTTCTCACCATTCACCCACATTTTGATAATCTGATCTCTTTACATGTAGTTAATGACTCAATCACCCTTTAAATCTACTAACTCCTTTTCTTTCATTAACAAATATAAAGTTGACATTTCTTATGATAAATCAAGTGAATTTTTTAAAAAATTTATTTATTTATTTTTGGCTGCATTGGATCTTCATTGCTGCGCTCAGGCTTTCTCTAGTTGGGGAGAGTGGGGGCTACACTTTGTTGTGGTGCGTGGGCTTCTCATTGCGGTGGCTTCTCTTGTTGCTGAGCACAGGCTCTAGGCGTGTGGGCTTAAGTAGCTGTGGCATGCAGGCTCAGTAGTTGTGGTTTGCGGGCTCTAGAGCGCAGGCTCATTCATTGTGGCACTGGTAAATGTTAATATATTTTTTTCACATGGTCCCTGCAATTTTAAATTAAGTTCAGTAGATGCTCTGGAATGTGAGTAAGCAAGCCAATGACTCAATAATTTGTGAAGGGAGGGTCATTATTTTTTTTTTTAAATCCTTATTGAATATTCTAAACATTTACCTTTAGGGCTTAACAGCATAGTTCCTAACAAGGGTAGACTTAAATCGTCTTCTAGATTAGATAGAGTTGTTTTCATGTCATTGACATGTCCTTTGTTTAACTAATAGTATTATTCCAAAGTGGTAATTTTTACTCATTCCTTTGGAAAATAGTGAGTGTTTCCATGGAGGGTGGTAAAGAGAGCATTTATGCAATTGTGTGAGTTAATGTGGGCTTTTGCTGTTGTTAGCATGATCTTATAACTACCTTTATGAGCTACACCTGATATTGCTATAATTTATAAGAGAACTTTGATTCTTATTTTACACTTGTGCATGTTTAAAATGTTAATCTTGTGTAAAGTGGATGTTTAGTAGAAAGACGCCAGCATAGTTTACTTGATAATATTTTGAAGTAAGACATTTAGACTGAAGAAGAGGAAAAATTATGAGAACACTTGGTTCCAAATGTGAGATAATCCTCATACTGCTTTAATAGTGATTTTAAACTCTCTTTTATACTGTTTTATGACGGGAGAGAAATCTGTTGAATTTGTGAAGGCTCCAGTTTTAATAAAATTTTCCCTCTACAGTGGAAAAATATCTGTAAAATTTGAGACTATATAAATGTGAAGAAAAAAAAACTAACGGACTTGTAAGGGGTTTATGGTCGAAAATTGTTTAAAAAATAATTTGTTTTTATGTTTTTAAGAATGGTACAAAAATAAATTTTAAAATTATAAAAATATAATTTTGAAAATGAATGCAGTCGGTGTTGGAAGTATTAAAATATTAATTTCCCTTTAATAAAATAAACTTCTAAAAATGTCTTAAATTATAAACATGACTTTCATTTATGTAGGATTAAATAATTTTGGAGAATCTGTATTTAAAGGATTGATTATATTTTCCTGTTTTTCGAAATAAGCATTTTTATTTCTTGAAGCCAAATTTTAATGCTCTTTTATTGGGTCAGAGTTTGGCTAATTATATTAAAAGCTAAAACTGAAACGATGGATGGATGAGTGAATAAACCAAGGCACATCATAAGAAAAATGGACAAAATCAATTATGTTCTACTTAAAATGTCTAATCTTATGATAGTGATAGTTGTAAAGAAAATGATGTGTACATACTTCCGCTATTAGTTGAACACCGTTAAAAATGTAAGAGCAGAGAGAAAATTAAGTTGGAATAAAATTTAAATTTTTTACCTACACACAAAGAAGCTCAAGAATGACAAATCATAAGGTAAAAATCAGACTAACTCATCTGGAAGTGTTACATGTGTGTATATTTTATTTACACCCTATCAGTTCTCTGTGCTTTCTGTATTCAAAATTGTATGAGCATAATTACTGAATTTAGGAATTTTTCGGAGGCAGCCATCCAAATGCTATTCAAATATAAGTTCAACTCTTGTGAATTTTTGAATCGATGAGAAATAATTGCTTATCATTTTTAAAACTTCTGTGTATGATTTTCATCCATCAGTCTCAGAGCAAGCAAGTAGGTTTTCTCTCTGGTAGGGATGTTCTGAGACATAAGACTAAGTGTCATGATCATGTTTAGAGCATCAAAATGGGCTAGGGATTGGGAGCCTTCACACTTGTCCTGAATGTACCACTGACAAGGTTCATGAACTTGCTCTTTGGAATGGATGGAATGTCAGAATCAGATGGGATCATGGAAGTGAGCTAGTCTGAACCACTCATTATACAGAAGAGGAAAGAATAATCATTACATTGACATTTATGTTTTAATCAGGTCCCAGTGCTAATCATTTGCTTAATTAAATCTTGATCAAAGGTGTTACCTCATGAAAGTATTTGATGAGCTTGTTTCCTGGTATGAAATAAAAGCCTAATGACATTCAAGCGTGTTTTTCACCCTTTTAAATGATACAAGTGAAGTATATTGAGTGCACTTTAGATGAAGGGTGCCATTATAGGAGTAGAAAGAAGAGCTGCTCTTGGAATACAGATAAAGAGTGAATCACCAAGGTTGCGTTGTTGAATTTTGGAGGTGGAATATCTTACATGTTTTAGGTGAAAGGAGAGAACAGAAGAGCAATACATTTTTTGGCTAATGTGAATAAAAGGGATAATGATCTAGAAAAGTCATTGAATCATGTGACATTTCTTGCATTCAGCTAAAGTTTGTCATTTCAACCTTGTTTATACCTAACTAAGAAGTAAGACCTTCACATGTAGTTCTGAGTCAAGGAGCCAGTGCTGGATGAAACCAAAGCACTGCTTGGAAAATATGATAGAGACCAGATGTTTGGCTTACCAGGCCATTTCCTGTTTCCTCCTG